GCCGAGGGTTCCCGCAGACCCCACGCTCACCTGGGCTGCTCGGGGCGCACCTGAGTTCGGCACACCTGGATTCTGACTGTGCCTTAATGTCTTGCACTTGGGGCTTTCAGAGCGCCTCTCACCCCAGCCCAAGTGGGGACTCTCCCGAGGAGACAGCCCCGTTAGGGATGGGGACCCGCCCTGTGAGAGAGATGGACACCCTCCAGGTGAGGTAGCTCGCTGTGTTTGAGTAGTTGTGAATTCTGGCTCACTTTCCAACACCATTTTACTTGGGGGAAGATGGCCTCTCCTATTGCTGTCATTAGGGCTTTGGAGGGGTTCCACACCCACTGAGATGTTGGAGGCTCCCCGTGTCTCACCCCTTCTTGGCTTTTCAATGATTACAATACTCATGCAAAGTCTTTGCACGGTTCTCTGAGCCCTGCTGCTCGAATCCTCCTCCCCCTATAGCCCCCAAGTGCTGCTGGCATCTCGCCTGGGCAGGACTCCCTGGTGTTTGGGCTTAAAACCCGTAGACATTTGGAGCGGCGAGGCTTTAGAAGAGGAGGCTTCTCTGAGCCAATGTTTCAGCGAATGCATGGCTGCTTTTCTTTTCAAGGTTTCACTTCTTGTCTCAGACAGCAGGAGAAAGAGACAAAATAGCGAATAAAATTAAGTTCAGATGCAACTTGGTTCAGACACGTGTGAGTACTTTGAATTTTTATTTGGTTTTGCCACTTTGGGTAGGAGGTGAAATTAGGATTCCTAGAAGGCATTTTTATGTAAAAAAAAAAAACAAAAACAAAAACCAAAAAAAACCCCAACACCCCCAAAGTAACTGTTGTGGGCTGTTTCTAATTTCTCTCTGTTGAAAGGATGTCGTTCTGCAGCTCCTTGGGTTTTGGACCGCCTGTGCTCATTGTGTAAAACTGTAGATCTTGGGACAGCCAGTCTATTGAAATTAAAGCCAATGACATCTCGTCTCACCTAGTACAGATTTTCTGTTTTTAAAATTGGGGATCCAAAGTTTCTGGGCACGATGCTGTAGTTTTTAGTTTGGTGGTGTGACAGACAATCTGTGGCTGATGGGCTCACACCGTCTGAACATTAATCCTGTCAGTAGACTTGTCACGTAGTCGTTTTGTGACAGAGTGTCACAAGCTAGCAAGTGCGTGTGCATAGAAGCCTTTCCTGCACAATAGTAGATTAAGACTTTGTCAAACGCCACAACTCACACACTTCCCTCATAGCAGGAAAAAAGAAGGGATAGAAAATACCGTTTAATTCCCCCTGTTTGGAGCTAAGTGTTGCTCACTGTACTGGGATGTCTACTTTATAACTTTCTTTCACTTTCTAGTGTCATAGAGTATCATTATAATTGGCAAGTTAGCCTTTTATCCACAGTGGGAAATGCTTTAAGTGAACTCCTATTGAGGGTAATTTAAAAAAAAAATCCTTTACAGGAAACTGGTGTTTAATTTTGTACACTTTGCTTATTTGTGTTCAAAGGTAAAGAGATCATTTTGCCTGTTTATCTGGTTTTATCCTGATTTAGTCTGTGCGCATTCTTTTCAGCCTCAGTACTTTGTAACTCTGTGACACATGTTGCTACCCTCTGCTTCCATCTGCTTTCATTTGAAACCTTAATCCTGCTTAAAACACCTACATTCGCATCTCTTTATGTGTCTACTTCCTTTTATTCCTCTGAATCTCCTCCTCATTCACCTGTTTTTGTTTTAAAACATAGGTTCATTTGAGCCTCGTTTGACTGAGGAACTGTAAATGCCAGATTCAAAGCTCTTTTGTTCCTTGAAGTTTTGTTAGGTGAGTTTGAACATTAACTTTATTTGTGTAAATTTTAGGTTGGTTTTTCCAAGTCATATTAGACACATTTGGTAGTTCCGTCTCAGTGCAAAACAAGCTAAGTATAGCTTATAAACTTTCAGACATCTGCAGGGGTATCGGAGAGGAAGAGATGGTCTTTAGCCAAAGTGCTCTGGCTGTACAGTACATCCCTGCTGGGGATTGCTGCACCAAATTGTTTGCAGCTGTGAGGAACTGAAACTGTTCCTCTTAAGAAGCATTGTAGTGGAGTCCGTGCAAACAAGGTGAACTGAGTCTTTACAAGGATTCGGGGGTGTTCTTCGGGTCCAGTCTTTCTCAGATACATCCCTAAGTGGGATTTTCAAACAGACCCTTGGGGCTGGGGAGACGGCTAGGTGGGCCAAGTGCTTGCCAGTCCAGGGTGAGTTCAGGTCCTGAGCATCCACATAAAAAGCTGGGCATGCATCTTCAGTCCAAGATCTGCAGGGAGAGGGAGGCGGG